GTATAGGGTTATAGGTACAGATATAATTGGTTAGTACGTACCATGAACCTTCAAGCAACCCCCTAACCGTACAAATCCGCAACCCGCAACATCCTATGAATGCCAAACATCCCAATTCCATTCGACCCCACACCCCAAAACCCATGTAAGTAACATAAACAAGTGGAGCTCAAGCGTATGAAGAACATATACATTTCTTCACCCTACACCCCATTGAAAGCCTAAAAGGCTACACCCTCAACAACCCTAAACCCTACACTCTAAACCCTTTAAACCCTAAGCCTAAATCCTAAACCTTAAAGCCCAAACCCTGAACCCCAAACCCTGTATAAACCCTAAACCCCAAACCCCAAACCCCAAACCCCAAACCCCAAACCCCAAACCCCAAACCCTAAACCCTAAACCCTAAACCCTGAGCACCAGGCAAAGCTGGGCGCGGGAGGTGCGCTGGGCCGCAGGTCAGGCGAGGGCGGGCGGTCCTCGCACCACTTTGTGGTTAGGGTTTAGGGTTTAGGGTTTAGGGTTTAGGGTTTAGGGTTTAGGGTTTAGGGTTTAGGGTTTAGGGTTTAGGGTTTAGGGTTTAGGGTTGATTAACGGCTTAGTGTTAATGCTGATTCAGTCCTGGCACGGAAGGCTAGGAAGAATGCCATGAGGAAATCCCACAGCTTGCAAGGCGAGCGATGGTGGCTGTAGTGAGTTGTAGCTTTCGAGTGTAGGTGCCTCACATACTCGAAGTCCAGCACAATAACCTCTGACTTCTTAAGGCCCCAGTACTTTCCTTGCAGGGACCCTAAACCCTAAACCCTAAACCCTCGACCCTAGCCCAAGGGCTTCTGGTTGGGAAACTCGGAATGCCCCGCAGGTCCTGGGCGGAGGAGCGTACAGCGTCGAGCCAGCGCCAGCCCTGTAGGGTTTAGGGTTTAGGGTTTGGGGTTTGGGGTTTGGGGTTTAGGGTTTAGGGTCCAAGTGGAAGAAAAGTTGGAGCAACCAGCTGCTTAGCGACGCTTCCGAGGGTTGGTCAGTTGCGGCACCGTGCTGTCACACCTCACCCAATCAAGGGGTTGAGACTCGCATGGTGGATCTTTTCCCGGCAATGGCGGGCTATCGACGCAAAAGGATTCTTTCGATTCTTGTTTCTTGTATCCACGTCGGTGGAACAGCACCTGGGTCACAGCATTCACCAGCTCGTGCTTGGCGGAGCCATGTGCCGAAGCGGTTCTATATGCAAAGGCGGCAGTCTATGCAACAAAAATGGGGCTTAACTGTGTCTCTGGGGCCTTAATATACTCCTGATACGCCCCTTGTACGCCCTTAGGGGATCTTAAAACAGGGTCTCCCAAGCCCAAGGGTACAAGCTTAGGGGTCTGAAGTAGAGTCCCATAAACAACCAGGGGACTCAACCCAAGAGTGACATGGGAATAAAAAAGGGTGCCCTTTTGGCTAAAAGGGGCCTAGAACCTAAATCCTAAACCTCTGGGTCCGAGGGGATATACCTCAAACCACCCCAAGGAGGCCAAAACCCCTTATATTACGCAATATTCCTTAAACCATATAGGGATCCTTAGTATGATTTAAGGAATCTTCTTTAATTAAGGGGTATTGGGCTTCTTTTGGCCTAATATTAGGGTATCAGGGTTTAGGGTTTGGGGTTACATGGCCCCCTAGTATGGGCCCTTATACTTGGACCCCTTAAAAAAGCCCCCTTCATATATCTTATCCAAGGGCCCATTTTGGGTTTAGGGTTTAGGGGATTAGGGTTTAGGGTTTAGGGTTTTGGGTTTTGGGTAATGCTTCAGAACCCTTTCAAGCTTATACTAACAGTCCTTAATAGGGATTAGAATAGGGGGTACTAGAATCCTTATAAAGAAAAACTGTTAGAATAAGGGGGAACAGCCCAAGTGTAGGGTTCAAGGGGTAAAGGGGCCATATTGAGGGACCATGAAAACTACCCCTAGACCATATGGGCAGTTCTCAAAACTATGGTCCGACTCTTGGGTACCCTACATGTCAGGGGCCGCCAAATAGTAGCAACCCCCAAAAAGGGACCTTATGTTCGAGAAGTGACCATCTAGGAATTCTTAGTGTGATGTAAGGGAAATAAATACATTCCTGAGGGACATCTTGCTCTGTGGGTGGACTATAGTATTACAATATGGAAGCCACAAAAACCAAGGCACATTGCTCTGTATCTTCGGTCGATGCCACTTAATTCGGGTTTAGGGCTTTAGGGTTTCGAGTGACCAAAGACCATCTACCTTGCGATGCTCCCCCTTATACTAACAACCCTTCATTATTAGGGAGTATCGTACCCCCCCTACTATAATCCCTATGAAGGACTGAGCATCCCAACATCTTCCCCCCAAACAGAACAACTAAGCAGTTGCTCTGCAATCCACCGGTTAACTTTCCCTCCTGGAAAAAATCGCGGCAAATCCTGCCCCAAAACACTCAACCCAGACACCCCCCCCCCCACCCCCAACATAAAATGACAACCGATAAACCTCATAAACCCTCTAAACCCTCAAAGCCCTCTCACCCCGCTAAAGCCTCACCCCCGGAAAGCCTCAACCTCTCTCTTGATTGCCAGACCGACCCTGCCTCGGTACTACCCAGCAACGGCAGGGAACTGGCAGCGACAAGAAATCTTGTCTGTGCAATCAGTGTTTAGGGCCTAAAATTGGCCTGGCAACCACTAGCTGTCAATTGTGGGATACATGCAGATACGAATGGTTTTTGTCACTTGTCTCATTCCATACTTGGTTGCCTTTTAACCCCCCATAAAAGTTCACCTTTTTGCCCCCTCAGTATGAAATTAGAGGAACCCTAAACTTATAAAGTGATAAAGTTGTAGTTAACCCTAAACCCTAAACGCTAAACCCTAAACCCTATACAAACCCTAAACCTAGCTTAGACTTGCTCACTGGCACGCTGACTCGGTCAAGGAACCCACCGCACGAGAACGAACCCAACCGGGAATGAAACCGCAACGGCTCAGCCTTGTCGATATAGGCTTTAGGGTTTAGGGTTTAGAGTTTAGGGTTTAGGGTTTAGGGAACACGTGGGAGCACATCACTTGAGCTGCTTCTCCAAACAAGAACCCAAAGAGCCCAACATGACGTGGATCCTACATGGCAATGTACCCCTAAAACCCTAAACCCTAAACCCTAAACCCTAAACCCCTAAACCCCTAAACCCCTAAACCCTAAACCCTAAACCCTAAACCCTAAACCCTAAACCCTAAACCCTAAACCCTAAACCCTAAACCCTAAACCCTAAACCGGAACATCCTCAATTAAGGGCTCTTGGGTTCGGTCAAAACAGCAAAAAACTGCGTTCGGCACCTCTGCTGCGCGTTGACACCCTGGCAAGCATGGCAGAGTTCAGCTACAGGGCCCTTCATACTTAGGGTTTAGGGTTTAGGGTTCGGGGTTTAGGGTTCAGGTGTTTAGGGTTTAGGGTTTAGGGTTTAGGGTTTAGGGTTTAGGGTTTGGGGTTTGGGGTTTGGGGTTTGGGGTTTGGGGTTTAGGGTTTGGAGTTTGGGGTTCACAGAGGGTATATAAGGGTCCCCAATTAAGGGCCCATTATACCCAAGATACTTACGGGAGCTATGCCCTAAACTCCTACACCCTAAGCAAACTCCTGAAGCCCTAAACTCCCTTTACCCTAAACCCTAAGCCCGAAACCCTAAACCTTAAACCAAAAACCCTAAACCCGAAACCCTAAACCCAAAACCCTAAACCCTAAACCCTAAACCCAACTCTTGGACCCCGACTCCTACACCCTGAACAACTCCTTGACCCGAACCAAACCCCAAACTCTTAAACCTTTCACTCCCAAACTCCTAAAACCCTAAACTCCTACTACCCGCAGCTCCTAAACCCTCAACCCTCAACTCAACCCTCAACCCTCAACCCTAAACCCTAAACCCTAAACCCTAAACCTTAAACCCTAAACCCTAAACGAGCAGAAGCAGCTAAAGACCGGGCCTGCCGGCCGAAGCTCACCATCACGATAGCAAGGGCCTGGCCAAGAAGGCTTCCTGGGGTTTAGGGTTTAGGGTTTAGGGTTTAGGGTTTGGGGTTTGGGGTTTAGGGTTTAGGGGGTTTAGGCTTCAGGAGGTTTTGGCTTCAAAGGGTTTGGGGTTCAGGGTTTAGGGTTTAGTCTTTGGGGGGGGTTACGGTTTAGGGAGTTTAGGCTTCGGGAGAGTTTAGGCTTCAGAGGGTTTACGGCTTGAAGGTATATGTTTGAAGGCATGTGTGGAAGGCTTCTGGGGTTTAGGGTCCAGGGTCTAGGGTCTAGGGTCTGGGGTTTAGGGTTTAGGGTTTAGGGTTTAGGGTTTAGGGTTTAGGGTTTAGGGTTTAGTGCTTAGGGTTGGCAGGGCTAAGGCCGGGCGAAAGAGGTTGAGGGTTTACCCGGTTCAGGTTTTTTACAGAGTTTTCTGAGGGCTTACACTACTATTTGCTTAAGAACCCCTCCCCAAAAAGACAACATTCCTTCTGTTGCCCGTATAAGGAAAAGTGGCTTATCACTTTGGGGGGTGGTTCTTGAGCAAACAGTAGTATCCCTAAACCCTAAACCCTAAACTCGAAACCCTAATCCCAAGCATGAAAACAAGAGCCGGAGACCAGGATCAGCACGCCCAGCTCGAGGGCCAGATTGATACCCACGTCCTGAACTCAGGTGCCATGGACGTTGAACTGACCAAAGTCCTAAACTCTGAGCGGGTTTAGGGTTTAGGGTTTAGAGTTTAAGGTTTACAGGTAGGGTTTAGGTACCTGCAAACATGACAGGATCCACGAGCAACGTACGCAGTCACATTTCTGGGCTGTAGGCTCTGAGCGAAACCCATGTCACCCCGAACATCTGTACACTTCGCCGTTTTGGCAGAGATGAGGACGGCCCACTCCATGAACGACCACGAAAGCGAGGCACATCCTCCCTGAAAGCAAGCCCTTACATCAGCTTTCGTCTCAAAATCTACGGCTTCAAAGGCCATGTTCTCAGAACTGGTCTTTCACCGCCTTCACCGGATAGGCCTTGACCACCGTCTTTGCCGGCTGCGCCTTGACTGTCATTTCCTTGCCGAACATAACCCTTTTGCCGGCCTTGGTGGCTGCCTTCGTGCGGGTTTTGATCATGAAGAGTCCAGGAAGGACGAACTTGCCGGTCTTCTTCACCTCCGTCGCACCGATGTCAGCCAAGGACGACAGCACCTGTGTCACCTCGCTCTTCTTCAAGCCCGTGCTCTCGGCCACGCGAGCGGCAATGCCACTCTTCGGCATGGCGCGGACTGCCTTCATCTTCATCACCTTCATTGCCTTCATGGGGGCCATGGCTTCAAAGCTTGGAGGCGAGAGGGAACAGGACACTACCAGCAAATCTGAGCCTTCGTGGCATGCGCTCATCAGATGTTGGAATCACAGTCGACAGCACAACCTTGAAGCCTTAACCCTAAAACCCCATAACCCCCCCTCCCCAAGCCCCCAATAGCCCTCAGCCCTAAACCCTAGGCACGCAGCCCTCAAGGCAACATCTGCGGTATCCTCTGCAGGCAAGGACCTTGGGACACTTTACATTAAGGCTAACTTCTGAACCCCTCCTAAAAGTTTAACTTTTGGGCTCATTCTTGTAGTTCTACCAGAAGACAGACAAGCTAAATCTACCCAGACAGGGTTTCTAGCTTGCTCAGTAAGCTAGGATTAAAAAGTAAGAAGGGTGCCCTTCTTGGCTTAACGGGGTGTATAGGGGAATCCAAACCCCCAAAGAAAGGGAATAAGGGCGCTACTGGGCATCCTAGGTTTCAGGGGGGGGGGGGGGGGGGTGCTTTGTAGAGCCGGATTTTAGGGGGTTTAGGGTTTAGGGTTTAGGGTTTAGGGTTTAGGGTTTAGGGCCAACATGGTCAGGTCTTTGCATGCACCCTGGACTTGGACCCAAGACCTGAAAGCCCTGAAACTCTAAACCCTTAAAACCCAAAAACCCCAAACACCCTAAAAGTACCCTATGAAACATACGTACCCTAAGATACCCTCATAGCCCAAAATGAGTTTTAGAAGTGCCCTGAGCCTAAACCCTAAACCCCCTCAACCCTAAAACCCAAAACGCTACCCTGAAGCCATCAACCCATCCTTAACCCTGTCACGCCTGCGCGCTCAGAAGCGTCGAGAGGGCCACCAGCAACAGGTTCAATCCTGTTTAGGGTTTAGGGTTTAGGTACTTGCAGGCTCAGGGTACTTATAACCCTAAATGATATCTGTACTTATAAGCCCCCTAAGTCTCCTAAGTAGGTTATAAGGAGATTATAACTGTGGTTAGTAGGGATGATGGCTCACGCCTACCAGGGTCTAGTTTGTGTTTGGGGGCATGGGGGGTTAAGGGGTCGGGTTTTAGCTCTGAAGCCAGGGATTTATTCGGGAATCAGGGGTGTAGGGTTCAGGTTTAGGGCTTGGCAGGTGCGCTTTTCTGTTTGAAGGGGTTTTGGGACTGACTAGGTTGAGGCGCCCCTTGATCCCTAAACCCCGCAACTGCAGCAGTCTCCACGGGCAGCTGGTGGCAACAGGCAGCAGTTGCTCAAAAAAAAAATCCAGCGCCTGGGTGTCAGAAAACTCGCCCCGTCATGCCCCGAATGGGTTTAGGGTTTAGGGTTTGGGGTTTAGGGTTTAGGGTCTCCAGATTCTCTCAAGGGTTTCGGAAAAAAAGAAACCTAAACCTTAACTCTTTATGGCGGGGTCTGGGCCCCTAAACCCACAAAGCCTGAGGGTTTAGGGTTTAGGGTGTAGGGTTTAGGGTTTAGGGTTTAGGGTTTAGGGCCAGAAGTACCCTTAAAAAGGGTACAATCGAGCCGCTGGCCCAGAGATACGGCTGATGCAGCTTTACCAAAATGGCAGATCTGTAGATGACGGCGCCACCAGGAAGCCGGGTACACGTCAGAGTTGTAATACTTGGCAGCCATTCTCTCAATCCTCTTCAGGCTTCGTTGGCCAACCTTTTGTATGCAAAGATCGTTTCCTCGTCGCTCAGAGTTGGCACGTGCTGCTGCACCTGAAGTCCATGGCCAGTGCTGGCACTGGGGCACTGGGGTGCATGATGTTTTCACACTGTCTACGCTGAGGTATAGTTGCCATTGTATGTTTCGCTGCCGTACGTATAACCCTGCATACAACTGCCCATGAACCTGCAAGCAGCCCCTAAAACCCTAAAACCCTAAAACCCTAAAACCCTAAAACCCTAAAACCCTAAAACCCTAAAACCCTAAAACCCTAAAACCCTAAAACCCTAAAACCCTAAAACCCTAAAACCCTAAAACCCTAAAACCCTAAAACCTAAAACCCTAAAACCTAAAACCCTAAAACCCTAAAACCCTAAAAAACCCTAAAACCCTAAAACCCTAAAACCCTAAAACCCTAAAACCCTAAAACCCTAAAACCCTAAAACCCTAAAACCCTAAAACCCTAAAACCCTAAAACCCTAAAACCCTAAACCCTAAAACCCTAAACCCTAAACCCTAAACCCTATACCCTAAAACCCTAAACCCTAAACCCTAAACACTAAACCCTAACCCCTAAACCCCCTAAAGCCCTAAGGCATGAAATGCAGGGGCCTGCAACGACTAAGAGCACGTTCGACCACCACCTCCGTACTTCTCAACAGCATGAGAAAGAAGGGGGGGGAGGGTTTAGGGTTTAGGGTTTAGGGTTTAGGGTTTAGGGTTTAGGGTTTAGGGTTTAGGGTTTAGGGTTTAGGGTTTAGGGTTTAGGGTTTAGGAAGGAGCTTCCTGATCCTGCGGTGCCGTGAAGTTGGGAATCTGATTTAAATTTAGGGCTTGGGGTTGAGGATTTGGGGTTCGGGGCTTAAGGCTCAGACATTGCAAGACAGGAGCATGGATAGCTACAATTACTATCCCCCCTTGCGTATATAAGTAATCACAATCTGGACCCTAAACCCTAAACCCTAAACCCTTTAAGCAGCCGCTGTAGTAGCTGACAGATGGCTGCGAGAATGCCAGAAACAACGTTTGAGAGAGTCTGAGAGAAATCTGACAGAAGTTGGTTTAGGGTTTAGGGTTTAGGGCCCCAGGAAGAATGTTGGTTTGACATTGGCCCATTGTACTGACAGTCCTGAATATAGGGATTATCATTAAGGGGGGGGGGGGGGGGTACCACAACCCCTATTTGCTGGCATAAGGGGGAAACATCCCAAGTTGAACTCCAAACACATGGAACCAGCTCTGCGTAGAAGTTGAGAGCAACTCAGAAGAAGCTTCAGGAAAGGAGCGACGTTCTGCCCAAAGATCCCAAGTACACCTTAGGGTTTAGGGTTAGGGTTTAGGGTTTCGGGTTTAGGGTTTAGGGTTTAGGGCTTAGGGTAAGTAAGGAATATACCCTTACGTCAGAATAAGGATCCCTGTATGGTTTAAGGTAAATGCCTTAATTCAGGTGTACAGGACAATTTGGACAGTCTGAGAAGACTTAGTTAGTGCACAATCCGGCCCTGTGATGCTGTTTTTAGGGTTTAGGCTTTAGGGTCCCTAGGGTTTAGGTCCAAGTAACAGCGCCTCTCTCTCTCTCTCTCTCGCTCTCTCTGTCTCTGTCTCTGTCTCTTTGTCTCGAAATCACAACCCGCACTGAAGTGGCAGCGGCAGCATCTCGCTGGCAATGTTTCTGGAACCATCCCACATCCCCCCCACTCCAAACAACTCCATTGGGAACCTCAATGCTGTAGGGTTCAGGGTTTCCTTGAACACACGAAGTTACCCCAACCCGCCCGGGAAAGCGCAAAACCACCACATGCCACAACTACGCAGTCCTTCATCGCGAAACGCCAAAGCTGCCATGAAACCCAAAATAGGACTCCCGTACTGTCGACTACGACGACTACTGCCACTGCTACCAGTATCATGAAATAATGACATGAATACTGTTGAATACAAAAATACGAACCGTGAGAACGCATCATAATCACAGAAATTGCAAATCATCATCATCATGTTCTTCTTCTTCTTCTTCTTCGTCAACATCAACATCAACATCAACATCAACATCCACTTGGGCCGCGGGCTGGGCCACGTCCCGGGCGTAGGCGCAGCAGGCGCAGCAGCTGGTACTCAACGCTGGGGAGTTTGGGTGTTTTGGAGTTAGGGGTTTAGGGTTTAGGGTTTAGGGTTTAGGGTTTAGGGGTGAGGGTTTACTTAAGAAGTGTAGACAACCCTTAGCACAAGGGAGTCTTCAAGTTAGGCCCTTGTCCGGCACCACCCCTCCCTAGAAGGTTTAGGTTTTAGCGTTCGTCGGCGACGCTAGGCACACTTCCAGATTCACCTAAACCCCCTAAACCCTAAACCCAAAACCCCACAATCTCAACCCTAAGCCCAAACCCTAAACCCTAAACCCTAAACCCTAAACCCTAAACCCTTCAAGGTCCTCTTTGCGAGGTCCTGGGCCATGCAGCCCCAGACCCGGAGAAGCCCGGCCCCTGCCAGGAGCAGGAGCTCGCCTCGGGTTTAGGGTTTAGGGTTTAGGGTTTAGGGTTTAGGGTTTAGGGTTTAGGGTTTAGGGTTTAGGGTTTAGGGTTTAGGGTTTAGGGTTTAGGGTTTAGGGTTTAGGGTGACCCTAAGCCCGGGTTTTTTGCTACGTGAGAGTTGGACCTGCGACTTTATCATGGCATGGCAAGGGCGGAAGGGGGTGGGGGGGGGGGGATTGCAAAAGTACTTCGTGCAGCAGGAGCCCTGACAAAAAAAGGGCCCAAAACCCCAAACCCCAAACAACCGCGGTTTCAAACAAGCCCCTGGCACCATGTCGTTCTGCGTGTATGAGCGACCCTAAACCCTAAACCCTAAACCCTAAACCCTACACCCTAAACCCTAAACCCTAAACCCTAAACGCGTGTCAGGCATTTCGGCAAGCAGTAAGGAGCTGGCCCTCCAGGAGCATCCTCGAAGCGCAGGAGTTGGTTGAGAGGGGTTTTGGCCCTTGTTTCCTTGGAGGGTTTAGGGTTTAGGGTTTAGGGTTTAGGGTTTAGGGTTTAGGGTTTATGGTTTAGGGTTCATAGGTGCTTAGACACGGTGCGTTTAGGGATTAGGGTTTAGGGTTTAAGGGTTCTCAGGTCTAGGGTTTGGGGGGGTTGTAGGGTTTATTGTTTGGGGCTTAGAGGCAATTGAATTGTACGGTAGGGTTCAAAGCTGTGTTCTAGGTTCTGGACTGATTCAGTTGCAGGTTGAACTATTGCTCACCCGGCCATGGTGATCCCTAAACCCTAAACCCTAAACCCTAAACCCTAAACCCTAAACCCTAAACCCCAAACCGCCCCTCATGTATCCTGTGCTGGGCGTCCCGGCTTGTCGCTCATGGCGTCGGCAGCTGCAGCAGCAGCTCTTCTCGGCTACACTACGCGGCCATGGCTTCAGAAGCGGCCG